GCCACTGCACCCAGAGGAGTCTTTTCACTGTGTACCCTTTGTACCTTTTGGAATTTTGGATGTGTGAATATCTTGCTCACTCAAAAATTGATTACATTTTTGCAGAGAAAAGTCATTGTCTTAGTTCAGGTTTCCCAGGAAACAAATGGGATTTGCTTTCCACAGATAATAGTATGGAATGCTCTTGAGGACATAACTATGAGAAAATGGATGAAGCAAGATTAAGCAGAAGTTGAACTTCAACGCAGTTAGATGAAGTCCATAGTAATCCCACCGGAAACTCTGAAGCTGGAATGGCCCTTCAGAATTGTCTCAGATTAAGGCAAAAGGGCTAGGCACTATATCCTATATCCACCAGTCATTGGAGGTAGGCCCCCTGAAAAGGAGTGTAAACTTGGGCGATACAGCTTCCTTTTGCTAAGTAGAGATCCCTGAGTAATGATCAGTCAACACTTCCAGGAGCTAAATGAATAAGTGCTCCAGCTTTTTGTTTTTTTGTGTGTGCATTTTTTTTTAAGACAGTCTTGCTTTGTTGCCCAGGCTGGAGTGCAGTGGCACCATCTGGGCTCACTGCAAACTCCACCTCCTGACTTCAAGCAATTCTCCTGCCTCAACCTCCCCAAGTAGCTGGGACTACAAGCCTGCATCACCACAGCTGGCTAATTTTTATTTTAGTAGAGACAGGGTTTTACCATGTTGACCAGGCTGGTCTGGAACTTCTTACCTCAGGTGATCTGCCCACCTCGGCCTCCCAAAGTTCTGGGATTACAGGTGTGAGCTACCACACCTGGCCAAGTGCTCCAGTTTTATAAGGAATATGTAGACTCTGGACTGTGCACCACCGCATATACTATACCAGTGGTTCTTAAATTTCAGTATGCACCAGAATCACCTGCACTTGGGGGCTCCACCCTGTCTGATTCCACAGGTCTGGGGTGGGGATAAGAATGCACTTCTAGGCCGGGCACAGTGGCTCACGCCTGTAATCCCAGCACTTTGGGAGGCCGAGGCAGGTGGATCACGGGGTCAAAAGATCGAGACCATTCTGGTCAACATTGTGAAACCCCATCTCTATTAAAAACACAAAAAAATTAGCTGGGCATGGTGGCACGTGCCTGTAATCCCAGCTACTCAGGAGGCTGAGGCAGGAGAATTGCCTGAACCCAGGAGGCGAAGGTTGTGGTGAGCTGAGATCGAACCATTGCTCTCTCCAGCCTGGGTAACAAGAGCGAAACTCTGACTCAAAAAAAAAAAGAATGCATTTCTAACAAGTTCTAAGTGATGCTGCTGATGATGGTCTAAGGATCACACTTTGAGAACAGTTATACTACATATAACTAGGTTAAATCCAGCAATGTTGAATAATTTTGTTTTAAGAGATATGGTCTGGTTCTGTTGCCTGGTTGGTGAGCAATGACACAATCATAGCACACTGCAGCCTTGAACTCACGGGCTCAAGTTCTCGGCCCACCTCAGCTTCTCAAGTAGCTAGGACCACAGGCATGCACCACACACTCAGCTAATTTGTTTCATTTAATTTTTGGGGTTTTTTTTGTTTTTTTGAGACGGCGTTTTGAGACGGCGTTTCGCTCGTTACCCAGGCTGGAGTGCAATGGTGCGATCTCAGCTCACCGCAACCTCCACCTCCTGGATTCAGTCAATTCTGCTTCCTCAGCCTCCCAAATAGCTGGGACTACAGGCACACGCCACCATGCCCAGCTAATTTTTGTATTTTTAGTAGAGACTGGGTTTCACCATGTTGACCAGGATGGTCTTGATCTCTTGATCTTGTGATCCATCCTCCTCGGCCTCCCAAAGTGCTGGGATTATAGGCATGAGCCACCGCGCCCGGTCAGCATTTAATTTTTGTAGAAGTGGAGTATTGCCACGTTGCCCAGGCTGGTCTCAAACTCCTGCCCTAGTGGCTCATGGCTTGGCCTCCCAAAGCTTTAGGATTACAGGCATGAGCCACCATGTCCAGTCCAAAGTTGAATAATTCATCAATGTTTAGTTTATCATTTATAGACGGTAATACATAAAATTCTCTGGTTAGACTGATGTTCATGAGCTCATCTTTGCCTTTTTTTATTTTTATTATTATTATTTAAGATGAGGTTTCACCATGTTGGTCAGGCTGATCTTGAACTCCTGACTTCAGGTTATCCGCCCACCTCGGCCTCCAAAGTGCATGGATTACAGGCGTGAGCCACCACGCCCAGCCTTCCCCTTTGCCTTTTTTATAACCCTAGTTCACTAGAAACTAGACTACTACCATACTTGCTTTATAAAACTGTTAGTAGTTTGACTTTGCATCTATTTTCTTCAATCTGTATGCCTCAATATATTTCTCTCCTCCCTAAACAAAATATATAAATCAGTAAAAGGATTACTATTGTCTATGATGAAAACCATTTTTCTTCAACCTAATTTCACTTTCATCAAAATCAGAATCAGTGACACGAAGGCTGAGGGGTAGAGAGGTAAGAAAATGATTTTCTTGTTAAAGAAGGAAGTTAACATTTACTGGATACTTATTATGTGCTAGGTAGTTTCTCATACATTATGAACACTTCTTTCAGTCCCTTCACAGGGGCAAGTTTTTTTTTTTTTTTTTTTTGAGATGGAGTCTTGCTCTGTCGCCCAGGCTGAAGTGCAATGGCATGATCTCAGCTCACTGTAGCCTCTGCCTCCCGGGCTCTCCCAGGGTCAGGCAATTCTCCTGTCAGGCTTTAAGTAGCTGGGAATTACAGGCATGCACCACCATGCCCAGCTAATTTTGTATTTTTAGTAGAGACAGGGTTTCATCATGTTGGCCAGGCTGGTCTCAAACTCCTGACCTCAGGTGATCCTCGGCCTCCCAAAGTGCTAGGATTACAGGCATGATCCATCACACCTAGCAAAGGGACAAGTCTTTCTTACTTCAGAAGACTTTATGCATACTCTTTCTTTGTTGTGGAACACTACCCATGCCATCTAAACTACATTCCGTTTCTCTCTTAAAGCACCCTGTTCTTTTTCTTCAGCACACTTGCACTTATTATAATTCACATATGGTATTTGTAGGTTTATTTCTTTAACACCTGACTGCTGCTGCAGAAGACCAGGAGGCCAAGGACAATGTCTATATTGCTAATCACTAAATCCTCAGTACCGAGCACAGTGCCTGCAAACAGGCACTCAGTGATTTGTTAAAGGAATAACAACAGGCTTATGCCTTGATAGACTGGTAATGCCATCCACTGAGGCCAGAAACAGAGGAGCAGGAATTAACAATGGCTATTGCTTACAGAAGTAACTCCAAACTCTTCTACCTAGTTTTGAAGCTTCTATTAATCTGGGCACACAGCTCACTCTCATACTCCTCCTCTTGAATTCAAGTTACTTTTTTTTTTTTTGAGACGAAGTCTCATTCTGTCCCCCAGGCTGGAGTGCAGTGGTGTTATCTTGGCTCACTGCCACCTCTGCCACCTGGGTTCAAGTGATTCTCCTGCCTCCGGAGTATTTGGGACTACATGCGTGTGCCACCATGCCCAGCTTATTTTTGTATTTTTAGTAGAGACGGGTTTCACCATATTAACCAGGATGGTCTCAAACTCCTAATCTCAGGCAATCCACCAACCTCCGCCTCCCAAAGTGCTGTGATTACAGGCGTGAGCCACCGTGCCCAGCCTAAATTACCTTTTTTTAAAGACTCACTTCCCGGCCAGGCGCGGTGGCTCACGCCTGTAATCACAGCACTTTGGAAGAGAGAGGCCGGTGGATCACGAGGTTAAGACATCAAGACCATTCTGGCCAACATGGTGAAACCCCGTCTCTACTAAAACTACAAAAATTAGCTGGGCATAGTGGTATGCGCCTAGTCCCACTAGGGAGGCTGATGCAGGAGAATCGCTTGAACCAGGGAGGCAGAGGTTGCAGTGAGCCAAAGTCGCGCCACTGCCCCCCATCCAGCCTAGGTAACAGAGCGAGACTTCATCTCAAAAAGTAAATTAATAAATACACAAATAAATAAATTGTGGAAACACTGTGGAAGAAAAACGATCGCTGGAGAGCCTGTGCGCTCACACACATCCTTTAATTTTTACAACAGCTGGGGGAAGGCGATTCCACGTTAGAGCTTTTCCTCCTTTCTAGCTAGGAGTTACCCCCCCAAATTTTAACCTAATGAGTAAGCAAAATAAGCACACTGAAGAGGCTGAGAAAAGAAAAACTGCTCACACCAGTCTGAGCTCTGAGAGGTCTGCAAAATGTATTAGGCCTAAAGGGACATGAGTCCGGGACTTCGGTTATGCCACCCCGTGGCCCCCGCATACACACATACCCAATCCCATGCATACCCAATTGTTTAAAGTCCTTTCATTTCTGACTATCGGCTTCATCCATTAGCTTCTGTTTTTATTTTTTAGACAGGGTATACTCTGTTCCCCAAGCTGGAGTGCAGTGGTGCGATCATGGCTTACTGTAGCCTCGACCTCCAGAGCTCAAGAGATCCTCCTGTCTGTCTTGCCAGTGGCTGAGGCTACAGGTCCGCGCCACCCCGCCGGCCCCATTATCTTCGTGTTCTTAAAATCTGTAATACACGCCAGGCGCAGTGGCTCACGCCTGTAATCCCAGCACTTTGGGAGGCCAAGGCGGGCGGATCACCTGAGGTCAGGAGTTCGAGACCAGACTGGCCAACATGGAGAAACCCCGTCTCTATTAAAAATACAAAAATTAGCTGGGTGTGGGGGCACTTGCCTGCAGTCCCAGGACTCCGTCTCTAAAAATGGAAAAAGAATTTGTAACACAAAGAACAATATGTAGCCAATTGATAGCTTATGGTTTTTTGTCTTTTTTTTTTTTTTTTTTTTTGAGACGGAGTCTCCCGGTGTCGCCCAGCTGCAGTGCAGTGGCGCGATCTCAGCTCCTTGCAACCTCCGCCTTCCGGGTTCAAGCGATTCTCCCGCCTCAGCCGGCCGAGGAGCTGGCAGTTTCTTTTTAGAGCGACAAGGACCCCTTGCCAGGGTCCGCGCTTAGAGGACGTCAGGGGAGTCAGTTCGCCGGAATAATGGCTGAGCTAGAGGGCTGCCTAACCTTGAAACCCAGCGCCCTTCTGATTCACACGTCCTAAGACGAATAAATTCTCACAGTCTGTGAAAACCCATTAGAAGAAACAAGTGAAACAGTCTTCACCTCCCCAAACAAGTCTCAGAAGCGGGAAAATCAAGGCCGCCAATGGGCGGGAAAGCCACAGCCGCCTGCCACGGCTTCACCTCATTAGCTAATTTTGCTGTCCTTCCCAGTGACCCGCCTCTCTGCTCGCGGGCAATATTTTCATTGGCTTTCGTCTGCCAGGCCTCCGATATCATTGGTTTGCTTTTCTGTTCGTCAGGCTTGGGGGCCTGGAGAAAAGCAGAGGGCGCGTCCGTTTTGGGGCTGGAGGCCCCGCCTCCGCGTGCCGTGTGCAAAAACAAACAGCCGTTAGGAAGGCGGTGCCGGGGGGCGGGGTCTGGCTAGAAGGAGGCGCGCGATTGAACAGCCGCCGGGGTTCGAAGTAGCAAAGCGAGCGGGTATTGGCCGCGGCGGCGAGAGGCGGGCACAGGGTATTGTCCGGCTCCGGCGGCGGCGGTCGGTGCTGCGAGAGCGGCGGCGGCGGCGCGGGTCGGCAGCGGGAGGGCGCGCGGCCGAGCGGAGGCAGAGTCGGCGCCGAGACCATGGTAAGGGCGGCTGAGTGGGCCGGAGGCGCGGAGCCTGAGGCAGGGCCAGGGGAGCAGAGCGCGGAGGCCCCGGCGTCGGCGCCGCTACCTGTGGAGTCGGGAGTTCGCGGGCGTTAGGGCTGCGTCCAGCCGAGCCCCTCGCCGCCCGCCGGGGGGCGCCACGCCCGGCTGCGGAGCCCCACACGGGTACCCGGGTGAGAGCTGGGCCTGGCCGGATAGAGCGCGAAGTGTGTCCCGAGCCGGACAGGTCTGTCCCGACGCTGGTGACGCTGCACCGCCAGTCCGAGAGGAGGATGCCGCCAGAATCCGGCTTGAAAAATGTAGAAACCAGTGCTGGATCTTAATGTGATCGCTCCTCTGTACGAATGAGGTTAAATAGGCTGCCGCCGTACAAGTTAGAAGTCTTTGGCGATGTTCGGTTACGTAATCTCCCTGGTAGTCAATTTGAGGGTGTCTGCGAAAGGATGCTTGTATTTGTGGTCTTTTGAACTACAAAGAATGGTTTTCTAGACCAGAACCACAGGATTTGTTCTAGGTGATTGCAGAGGTTTGAAATGAACGCCCTTTCTCTTCTGACTCCTTGCAGTTTGTGTTTTTCATTATACAGCAGTGCTTTCCTTTGCCCTTGCTATGTATTTTCAGCCTTAAAAGTATCCACCTTTTAATTCTGAAATTCACATCTAGATAAGAAAAGTGTGGCTTTTAAAAAATGAAAGTGAATAAATCTTCAGCCCCATTTTAAAGTTGAGGGAAAGGAGAAAGTGCTAAAGGATAAGCTCCGAGTTGCATCAAAGATTGTGTAAAAATTAAGACTTATCATGGAATCTTATTTTTACCGGTATTCGTGCTTTTTAAGTCTTCTGTCGAAAGGTTACTTCGACGGGAGCTGCCTGCTTAAAAGTTAACCCCAGGCTGTCATTTCTCATACTGCAGGTAGTATTAGATGATTTGTCTTGTGCTTGATATGACAGGTATGATATTTACTAGACACAACACCTAACTATAAACAGATTGGCCACTCGAGAGGACAAAATGTTATTGTAGAAGTCCCAAATCTTAGAGCTCGAATAGACCTTAGGGATAATTTCATCCAACATGTAATACATATAGTTCATTGTTATTTTAAAGTACTTTATAATACTTTAACAAACTGGGGTACAGCCTACATCTAATCTGTAAAAGGATTTGCTCAGATGATTTTCATGATTCTAGTTTTTAAGATGTTTTCAGTCTCTAGTGATAAGCCATGTATTTTATATTCACTTGCCAGTAGCTAAAAATACGTAAGCATTAACATAAGCTAAAAGCGATATTGAGTTGTCGTTCTTGTTAGATTTTAAACCTGAGAGGAAGTAAGCGGGTGTCTGTTAAAACTAATATGAAAATTTCTTAGTATCCAGTTTGCAAGTTTATCCAAGTGAAATGAACTCCCTGTTCCTCCTCTCCTCTCCCCTCTCCCTCCTCTCTCTTCCCTCCCCCCCTTGTGTGTGTCGGGGTGCGTGTGTGTGTAATTTTTTTTTTAAACTAACGGCCTTAACTCAGGTTAATATGAAGTTAATTCTTGAAATAATAAATTTTATATCTTAATTGGTTTCTCAATCACCAGTTATATTAAAATGAATTTTCAAAGTAGGGAGGCTATGTAAAGTTTGAGGGGATATTGAAAAGAAAATAATTATTCATTTATTGTACAATTTTATATTCAGATAAGTTTGATACCATAAAAGGTTTTTTTTGTTAACTATGATAAATGTATTAGGAGTCTCTAAATGTCGGAAATAGTCATGTAATGTATTGAGGCTTTTAAAACCCGATTGTGTGTCTGCTTCCTTAAAAAGCAAATAGAACAGCAAATATGACATATCCGAAACAGTGAGGATAAAATTGCTTAACAGAGTAGTTACTACATGACCTGGGGAGCCTGGGGAGTTTTGCAGTTGTTGGCTTTTTGTTAATAACTAGTTCTTATTTTTTCCAATGCCGTCATAAGAAGACAGTGATTCTAATTTTAGATGCCGGTTGAAAGGTTTTTAAGTGTTATAATTTAGGGCAAATAGAGATCAAAAAGGTTTTTTAATTTGAGAATTAAGTAATACTATCTTATTAATGGAGCTGACCTGAGAAATCCAAAAGTTATACAATGTCTTTTTCTTATATAACAACATAGTCAAAAAGTATTAAAATATATGAGGCATTCTAGTAGAAATCAAGAGTTCTTCTGGTACACTTAAATCAGTCTCTTGCTGAATTGCCTAATGTCAGAGAGTGAATATGAATTAATTCTTTGATTTTAATTTTTCCTATTTCTAATACCTGCCAAGATTTTACTGTTTTTCTTCCACATTATCTTGGGTGACACGCACTTAATCCACTTAGACATGCAATTAGAGGAAGTATACAGTTTTAATTTTTAGCTTTAAAAAATTTTTAAGGATTCTCTGCACATCTCTTTGGGGAAAAAAAGAAAAAAATGTTTTAAGGAAAGGGTTAGTTACAGAGGGGATATGCCATTTCAAAGCTTACCATCTATGTTGAAAGTATAGCCTTTCAGACAGCCAATTTTATAAACTGATTTCTTTTTTTTTAACAGTAAAGAAATAATCTGTTTAAATGGTAAAAGCAAAATATATGAGAGAAAATTAGTTTTATTCTTAAGTCAGACCCTTTGTATTTCCTCCCTAGAGGCAAATAACATTTCTAATTTATTGTGTGTGTACACACATACTCTATAATGCCCCATATTTACTTAAAAGCTCATTACATTTGCACATACTTAGCCTTTTTCATGCAGAAATAGGTTTTGTTTTTCAAGTGTACAGTTCAGTGGCATTAGGTACATTCATAGTGTGCAACCATCACTGCCATCTGTCTCTAGAACTTTTTCATCTTCCCAAATGGAAACTCTTCCCATTCAACAATAACTCCACCAGGTGCGTTGGCTCACGGCTGTAATTCCAGCACTTTGGGAGGTCGAGGCAGATGGACCACTTGAAGTCAGGAGTTCAAGACCAGCCTGGCTAACATGCTGAAACCCCTTTTCTACTAAAAATACAAAAATTAGCAGGGCTTGGTGGCACCTGTAGTACCAGCTACTTAGGAGGCTGAGGCAGCTACCCTGGCAACCGTAAATCTACTTTCTGACTATGAGCCTTACTACTTTAGGGACCTCATAAGTGGAATTATACAGTATTTGTCCTTTTTGTAACTGGCTTATTTTGCTTAGCATAATGTCTTCAAGGCTCATTCATGTTGTAGCTTGTGACAGAATTTCCTTTTTAAAGCTGAATACTTACTATTCCATTATATGTATACCATGTTGTTCATCCATCAATGGACACTCAGATCGTTTCCACCTTTTGGCCATTCTAAATAATGCTGCTATGAATATGGGTGAACAAGTATTTGTTTGAATACTTGCTTTCAATTTTTGAGTGTATACCTAGAAGTGGAATTGCTAGACTATTTGACAATTCTGTGTTTACTTTTTTGAGGTTTATTTTTCTTGGAACATGCTTTATTTTTCTGAGAGCTAATTCTAAATATTTCTGCGAAAGTAATATATATTACATTGACATTTATAAGAATTGTGAAATATTTCATAAATGCATATAAGTTACACTGACTTGCAAGATTCTTCAGTCTGGAAATTGATAAATATGTTCCTTTTTAGAAATCTCATATTTTTTGGCTGGGCACAGTGGCTCATGCCTGTAATCCCAGCACTTTGGGAGGCAGAGGCGGACAGATCACTTGAGGTCAGGAGTTCAAGACCAGCTTGGCGAACATGGTGAAACCCCGTCGCTACTAAAGACACAAAAATTAGCCAGGTGTGGTAGCACACACCTGTAATCCCAGCTACTTGGGAAGCTGAGGCAGGAGAATCACTTGAGCCTGGCAGGCAGAGTTTACAGTGAGCCAAGATCATGCCACTGCATGCCAGCCTAGGCGACAGAGCGAGACTTCGTCTTGAAAAAAAAAAAAGAAATCTCTTATTTTAAATAAGTGTTTAAGGTTTGACTTATTTAATAGAAATTATAAAAGGTGATGGAATCCCATGTATATTTATAAATGAGGAAGGGGATCACCTAGATATTTTTAACTACCTAAAGTAAAACTAGAAGAAATTTCTTTTGAAGTAGTATTTTTGACTCTTTTCATTGAATTTTTTTTTTTTTTTTGCATTCAGGCTGGAGGCAAAGCTGGAAAGGACAGTGGGAAGGCCAAGGCTAAGGCAGTATCTCGCTCACAGAGAGCTGGGCTACAGGTAATGAATCCATGATGTTGTTACCTTATTATTTTCTTTACTGTTGTAATTTAATTATTTTATTTACTGTTGTCCCATATAACCTATAAATGTTTTATCAGTCACAAAAATCTGCTTCTATTACTGCAGACTTTTTTAAATTTTTGAGACAGAGTCTCGCTTTGTTGCCAGGCTAGAGTGCAGTGGCACAATCTCGGCTCATTGCAACCTCCACCTCCCGGGTTCTCCTGCCTCAGCCTCCCGAGTAGCTGGGATTACAGGTGCCCACCACCACGCCCAGCCAATTTTTGTATTTTTAGTAGAGATTGGGTTTCACCATGTTGGCCAGGGTGATCTCAATCTCTTGACCTCATGGTCCGACGGCCTTGGCCTCCCAAAGTGCTGGGATTACAGATGTGAGCCATCACACCCAAACAACTACAGACTTTTAGTAATGAGATTGCTTGGTCAATACCTAAGTCATAAAGTTATAAATTTTATTATACTGAAGTAAGTAAGCTGTGGTTTTTCTTTTGAAGATGTTTGTAATGGTTTATTAACTGTCAGGATGAGATACAATTTGAGGGTTCAGTGATGAACTATCTATTCATCCTCTGAATATTTCCCTTAATACCCTCAGTTTTAAACTGAGTAATATACTCAAAGCCACTAAATATTTTCACACTTCATATATTTGAATTATTCTGTCTTTACCCCACAAGTCAAAATGTCCTAGGTGAATTAGGATTACCTATAAGTGGCACCAGGCACAGTGGCTTACACCTGTAATCCCAGCAAGCATTTTGGGAGGCCGAGGGGGGCAGATCACAAGGTCAAGAGTTCAACAATAGCCTAGCCAACATGATGAAACCCCTCTCTCTACTAAAAATACAAAAATTAGCCATGCCTGGTGGCACACACCTCTAATCCCAGCTACTTAGGAGGCTGAGGCAGGAGAATTGCTTGAACCCGGGAGGCGGAGGTTGCAGTGAGCCAAGATCACACCACTGTACTCCAGCCTGGCAACAAGAGGGATACTCCATCTTGAAAAAAAAAATTACCTATAAGAAACTCTTCTTTCTTTTTTGTTGTTGTTGTTGTTTTTAAGACAGAGTCTTGCTTTGTTCAGGCTGGAGTGCAGTGGCTTGATCTCAGCTCACTGCAAACTCCACCTCCCAGGTTCAAGCGATTCTCTTGCCTCAGCCTCCTGAGTAGCTGGGATTACAGGTGTGTGCCACCACGCCTGGTAATTTTTATATTTTTACTAGAGATGAGGTTACAGACGTGAGCCACCACGCCTGGTTGAGAAACACTTTTAATCAGGAAACTTGGAAGGCCAAACTGTAAACTCTTAACCTCTTGGCAGTGGTAAGCCATTGAGAGTTTGAGCAAGAGTAAAACATGATCCAAATGATACCTAAAGAAATGTTGATGGGCACATTATGTATTTTAAGTCACCGTATATATTCCCAATTAGAATTTATTTTGAGACCTACTTAATTTGAAGTAGAAAATGGAAGACCAAGCGAGGTTATTGCAGTGGCTTAGGAATAAAGTAATGTACTTGAATGGGAAAGAGTAGAAAGCATGTGTGTGCAGAAAATAGGTGAAGAGGTATAAAGTTGAGAGGAAGTCAAAGGTTTCTTCAAGGCTTAGAACCTAAGGAACAGAGGAGTTTGTAGTAGGGACAAGTTATAAGGTAAATTTAAATGGAGTCATTTTGAAGTTCACTAAAACATCCATATGAAAATGTCCAGAGATTGGAAACATGAGTTCTTTTTTTTTTTTTTTTTTTTTTGAGACGGATTTTCGCTGTTGTTACCCAGGCTGGAGTGCAATGGCGCAATCTCGGCTCACCGCAACCTCTGCCTCCTGGGTTCAAGCAATTCTCTTGCCTCAGCCTCCCGAGTAGCTGGGACTTCAGGTGCGCACCACCATGCCCAGCTAATTTTTGTATTTTTAGTAGAGACGGGGTTTCACCTTGTTGACCAGGATGGTCTCGATCTCGACCTGAAGTGATCCACCTGCCTAGTGTGTGAGCAGGAAAGTGCTGGGATTACAGTGTGTGAGCCACCGCGCCCGGCCTTTTTTTTTATTTAGACAGAGTCTCACTCTGTCGCCAGGATGGAGTGCAGTGGCACCATCTTAGCTCACTGCAGCCTTCACATCCTGGGTTCAAGCAGTTCCCTGCTTCAGCCTCCCAAGTAGCTGGGACTACAGACACATGCCACCACACCCAGCTAATTTTTTGTATTTTAGTAGAGAGGGGATTTCACCATGTTGGCCAGGATGGTCTCAATCCCCTGACCTTGTGATCCACCTGCTTTGGCCTCACAAAATATTGGCATTACAGGTGTGAGCCACTGTGCCTGACAAGTTCAGCTTTCTAAGAGAGGTGATAGAATTAGGAATTTGAAATTATTTATGTAAAATTGATGGTTTATGTTACGGATGAGTTTCCTAACCTAAGAGAATGAGAATGGAGCACAAGGACATTGGTGGACCCCTCAAAAACTTTGAGAAAGAAAAGGCTGAGGAGTAGTCAGAGTTGGTATGAGAACTCTGAATTCTAAGAAGAAATGTTTTTGAGGTCCTATTGCGTGCCAGACAACATACTGGTTACTAAGGACGCAAAAGAAAAGAAGACATAAATTTTGCTCTTAAGAAGCTTTTGGTCACTTAGAGACAAAATATAAATCCAAAAAAAAAATTGCTCGTTTTTCTTAAGAAAGTAAAATGTCACTGCTGGCCCTCAGGGTAGTGTTTAACAGAAGCCAGGTTTGGGTTGGAGAAATGGGTGACAAGAAAGTAAGGGTTTCAGGATTTGCTTTTTAAATTCTGTCTTTGGAAAGAAGATATCTAGACTGTAACTATAAACTGTTTTCATAGATTGTGAAGTTTTCAGTAAAGTCTGTAAAAGGAAAGAAACCAGTGAAAAGGACGTGATTGTAGCTGTTGAAATAATGGAGCAGTGAAGGGATGAGGGAGGCCTGTCAGAAAGGGCACAGACAGGTACTGTCTCACATACAGCGGTGGCTCACACACTGTAATCCCAGCACTTTCCTGCTCACACACTAGGCAGGTGGATCACTTCAGGTCGGGAGTTCAAGACCAGCCTGGCCAACATGGAGAAAACCCGTCTCTACTAAAAATACAAAACGGCCGGGCGTCCTGGCGCGTACTCGTAATCCCACCTACTCAGGAGGCCAAGGTAGGAGAATCGCTTAAACCCAGGAGGTGGAGGTTGCAGTGACCCAAGATCACGCCACTGCATTCCAGCCTGGGCGACAGTGAGACTCTGTCTCAATAAAATAATAATAATGATAACAATAAAGTTTTCTTTGTTCTCTAGTGGAAAAAGAAAAATAAGTTATTTAAAAAAAGAAGAAAGGGCACAAATGGGATTAGGATACTTTGAAATGAGAAAGTACCCTCTTTTTCAGAAAGAAGAAAGAATCACAATGAGAATAGTATTGGTTTTTCTTAACTACCAGATTACCTCTTCAAACTGAAGAAAGAACAGTTAAGAGCTGAGGAAGGAAGTGGAGGTTCAAAGTTGCATGTGGCTATGATGTGAAGAAATTAACTAGATAGGAATTTGATCAGTGGGTCATGTTGAATGTATAGTTGATGACAGCACAGCATGGTTTTTCTTTATTTTAGAGTGATAGTCTCCATATTATGCAGAGGTTGAAGATTTGGGACTGATTACCAGAACATAGACACAGGCCCTGGGAATTGTTAATTGCCTAATAGGTTTGGCTTCTGATATCTCTCATCAGGTTTTTTATTATTTCATGCTTACTCATATTGTTCAGCCTTTGATTACACTCAGTGCAATGTTAAGACTCTGCAGTGCTTCCCACTAAGACATCTCTCTTTTAGTTTCCTGTGGGCCGCATCCACAGACACTTGAAGACTCGCACCACAAGCCATGGAAGGGTGGGTGCCACTGCTGCCGTGTACAGTGCTGCGATTCTGGAGTACCTCACTGCTGAGGTTTGTAATAGTAATGTCTTGTATATGGCAGTCCAGAAGGTTCACTAGCCTAAGTGACAGAAACCCATGGAATATATTTGAAAACAGACGTATATGCTCATTGGGGTTTGTTTTGTTTGTTTGTTTATTTTGAGGTGGAGCTTCACTCTTGTTGCCCAGGCTAGAGTGCAGGCCAGTCTCAGCTCACTGCAACCTCTGCCTCCTGGGTTCAAGCAATTCTCCCACCTCAGTGAGGCTCCTGAGGCTAAGTAGCTGGGAATACAGGTGTGCACCACCATGCCCAGCTAATTTTTGTATTTATAATAGAGATGGCATTTCACCATGTTGGCCAGACTGGTCTCAAAAGCCTGACCTCAGGTGATCCACCTGCCTTGGCCTCTCAGTGCTGAGAGGATTATAAGCTTGAGCCACCATGCCCAGCCTCATTGGTTTTTTTTTTAATAGCAGTCTGAGATGAATCTTGTCAGCTATTACCCAGTGCCAATGTAAAAGAACTTTCGTGTACTTGTTTTTAAAGCTGAGCAAGGGGCTGGGTGTGGTGATTCACAACTGTAATGCCAGCACTTTGGGAGGCTGAGGTGGGTAGATCGCACACTTGAGTTCTGGAGTTCCAGACCAGGCTGAGTGACAGAGCGAGACCCTGTCTCAAAATAAAGATTTTTTAAATGTTAAGCAAGGGCCAGCAATCTCTCTTTTATTTTTATTTATTTATTTTGACACTTGGTCTCACTCTGTCATCCAGGCTGGAGAACAGTGGCATGATCATAGCTCACTGTAACCTCAAACCTCCAGGGTTCAAGGGATCCTCCTGCCTTAACCTCCCTAGTACCTGTGACTACCCACCACACCTGGCTAAATTTTTTTTTTTTTTTCCCGGAGACAGAGTCTTGCCCTGTCATGCAGGCTGAAGTGCAGTGGCATAATCTTGGCTCACTGCAGCCTCCACCTCTTGAGTTCAAGCAATTCTCCTGCCTCAGCCTCCTGAGTAGCTGAGATTACAGGCTACTGCCTGGCTAATTTTTGTATTTTTAGTGGAGGTTTCACTGTGTTGGTCAGGTTGGTCTGGAACTCTTGACCTCAGGTGATCCACCCACCTCAGCCTCCCAAGGTGCTGGGATTACAGGCGTGAGCCATCTCGGCCAGTGCTTATTATTTTTTTTGTGTGTGGAGACGGGCTCCCTATGTTGCCCAGGCTGGTCTCCAACTCCTGGCCTCAAGTGGTCCTCCCAAGGTGCTGGGATTACAGGCAAAGCTACCATACCCCGGTGAACTCCGAAGTATGTATATAATCAGTAGACAGTATTTATGAAGTTATAGCATAGTTTTTAATTTATGAAGATTTGGGTCGAGGTAAAGTTTTGCCAGTGTGATGATATATAAAAATCACAAATAAGACATTAGAAGTGAACGACTTCATCTCTCCTCTGGGTTCTCTGCAGGGTTATACATACAAAATTGCTCTGTCTTACACAGTTTGAAATTTCAGGAAGATAAGTTAATTGGGCAAGAGTTTTTAATTCTTGAGTCATACATAGACCACCATTTTCCCCATCCTTACTCCTCTTAAAAAAAAAAAAAAAACACTGAGAAGTTATGAAACTTCAACTACATTCCAGGCTGGGGAAGTAATCTGAGTTAACACGTAGGTCAAGTGGTAGACACATTCATGATTCTGGTAGAAATGGAGGGGTCTTCACTTGGGGAAGATGTGATTGGGAGCTAGACTGGGGAATTTAGCTTTAATCTGTATGTCAGCTATCATTGCTGTCATTTATTTCATGAATCTGACCAAGTCGTCTGTGTCCCATTGGAGATTTAACATTGAATTACGATAGTTTCCGCTTTGCTGTGTCATGATCAAGGGGTGTTTTGGGTTTTTGGGGGTTTTTTTTGTTTTGTTTTGAGACAAGGTCTCTGTCTCCCAGGCTGGAATGCAGTGGCATGATCTCAGCCCATTGCAACCTCCACCTTCTGGGTTCCAGGATTCTCCCACCTCAGCCTCCAGAGTAGCTGGGGCTACCTGTGTGCACTACCACATCTGGCTAATTTTTGCTATTTTCTTTTTTTTTTTTTTCCAAGACAGAGTCTTTCTCTGTCTCCCAGGCTGGGGTGCAAGTGACGCAATCTCAGCTCACTACAGCCTCTGCCTCCTGGTTTCAGGCAGTTCTCCTTTCTCAGCCTCCCGAGTAGCTGGGATTACAGGGGTGCACCACCATGCCTGGCTAATTTTTGTATTTTTTGTAGAGACGGGGTTTCACCATGTTGGCCAGGCTGGTCTCAAACTCCTGACCTTATCCTGATCTGCCCACCTCTGTCCCGCAACGTGCTGGGATTACAGGTATGAGCTACTGTGCCCAGCAATTTTTGTTGTTTTCTTGCAAAGATGGGGTTTTGCAATGTTGGCCAGGCTGGTCTCAAACTCCTGACCTGAAGTGATCTGCCATCCCAGCCTCCCAAAGTGCTGGGATTACAGGCATGAGCCACTGTGCCTGGCCTCTTTTTATTTTTGAAAAATAAAAAAAAAATTTTAAATACATTTAAAAACTTTTGTAAAAGCATTAATAGATTTCAGCTATTAAGGGTTGTACAGAAATAGACTACATGGATATATTAAAATATATGACTTTGGCTGGGTGTGGTGGCTTACATTTAGCATTCAGGTTCACAATGTTCAAGTCCCATCTAAGCTCCCCTGCCTTTTTTTAAATATTTGGGAACTTTGGTTAAAATTTTAAAAGTTGGCTGGGCGTGGTGGCTCAAGCTTGTAATCCCAGCACTTTGGGAGGCCAAGGCGGGTGGATCGCAAGGTCAGGAGTTCAAGACCAACCTAGCCAAGATGGTGAAACCCTGTCTCAATTAAAAAAAAGTTTTTTTGTTAAGTTAATGCAGTGGCTCATGCCTGAATCCCAGCACTGTGGGAGGTTAAGGCAGGCAGATAGTTTGAGTTCAGGAGTTCTAGACCAGTGTGGACAACATGGCAAAACCCCATCTCTCCAAAAAAATTAACCAAATGTGATAGTTTGCACCTGTAGTCCCAACTACTCGGGAGGCTGAGGTGGGAGGATCACCTGAGCCCAGGAGCTTGAGGCCGCAGTGAGCCATGATTGCACCACTGTACTCCAGCCTGCATGACAGTGAGACCATTGTCTAAAAAAAATTTTTTTTTAATTAGGTTAAGATTAGACAGTGAATGTGTGTGTGTGTGTGTGCAGTCAACTTTTTTTGTTTTTGTTTGTTTTGAGATGGAGTCTTGCTCTGTCACCCAGGCTGGAGTGCAGTGGCGCAATCTCAGCCGAGTAGCTGGGATTACAGGTATGTGCCACCATACCCAGCTGATTTTTGTATTTTTAGTAGAGAAAGGGTTTCATCGTAATGGCAGGCTGGTCTCAAACTCTTGACCTCAGGTGATCCACCCTCCTCGGCCTCCCAAAGTGCTGGGATTGCAGGCATGAGCCACCGAGCTCAACCAATGTATTTTTTCAGATACTTAAATTTGGACTTTTAACCTTTAGTAGAGGTAAAATACTGAAATCTAAGCCAGGACCCTTTAGGTCATGGGTAATCACTTTTCAACCTTTGCTTTGCACTAAAATCCCTTGGGGAAAGCTCTTTAAAAAACGCTGCTGCAGAGCCTTATGCCAGACAATCAGAGACCTAGGAGAGAAGGGGGTAGGATACTGGTGGTTTTAAAATTCAGCAGTTGATTCTGATGTATACCCAGGTTTATCACTGCTCTATTTAAAATGAGGAGGCTACTTGGGAGGCTGAGGCAGGAGGATTGCTTAAGCCCAGGAGGTCAGAGGCTGCAGCAGTGAGATATGATCTTACCACTGCACTCCAGCCTGGGTGGCAGCGCAGGACCCTGTCTCAGTCAATCGAAAATACAAAAATTAAACAAACAAAACAAAAAAACTCTCGAGTTATTTTTGTATTACTTTCATCAAAATTTTAATAGCCAGCCAGGACTTTGAAATTTCTGTAGTTGAAAATCCCTGCTATAGATTAAAAGGCTGCTTCTAACTTGTAAATAGTAAAAATTGTAGTTGTTTTGTTTTGTTTTTGTTTTAAGACCGTCTTGCTCTGTTGCCCAGGCTGGAGTACAGTAGCACAAACACAGCTCACTGCAACCTCCACCTCCTGGGTTCAAGTAATCCTCCCACCTCAGCCCCTCAAATAGCTAGAGACTATAGGCATGTACCCCCATGCATTTTTTTTTTTTTTTATAGACTTGGTTTTCCTACGTTACCCAGGCTGGTGTCAAACTCCTGGACTCAAGCAGTCCTCCTGTTTCAGCCCCTCAAAGCGCTGGGATTACAGGTGTGAGCCACTGGGCTCAGCAGAAGTTATTTTAAATTACATTTTAGGCTGGGCTCAGTGGCTCATGCCTGTAATCCCAGCACTTTGGGAGCCCAAAGTGGGCAGATCACTTGAGCTGAAGAGTTCAAGACCAGCCTGGCCAATATCGTGAGACCCCGTCTTTACTAAAAATACAAAAAAAATTAGTCTGGCTATTAGCATGCCCCTGTAGTTCCAGCTACTTGGGAGGCTGAAGCAGGAGAATCGCTTGAACCCAGGAGGTGGAAGTTACAGTGAGCTGAGATCGCAGTACTATAGTCCAGCCTGGGCCACACAGCGAGACTCTGACTAAAAAAAAGAAAACAAGAAATTATTTCAAATTACATTTTAGGCAGAGTGTGATGGTCCACACCTGTAACCCCAGCACTTTGAGAGGCTGAAGTAGGAGTATCACTTGAAGCCAGGGGTTTGACACCAACCCTGGCAATGTAGTGAGATCCTATCTTTTTTACTTTAAAAAAATTTTAAATATATATTTTATAACTTCTTAAAGTATTCAGAAATACATTTCAGCTATTAAGAGTTGTACAAAAATAGACTACAACTATATATTAAAATATGTGACTTTAGCTGGATGTGATGGCTTACACTTGTAATCCCAGCACTTTGGGAGGCCCAGGTGGGCAGATCGTTTCAGCCCAGGAGTCTGAGACCAGCCTGGGCAACGTGGGGGAACCTCGTCTCTAAAAAAAAATTTTTTAAGTTAACCAGGTACACTTGTGGTCCCAGTAACGCAGGAGGTTGAGGCAGGAGAATAACCTTGAACCTGGGAGATCGAGGCTGCAGTAAGCCAAGATCACACCACTGTACTCCAGCCTAGGCAATGGAGTAAGATTTTTGTCTCAAAAAAAAAAAAAAAAGACTTTTCTAAATGTTCACATCTAGCATCTTGACTAAGGGATAATATCTCTTGTCCTTATCCTTATTTCTATATATATATTTCTTGTCTGCTTCTACATAGAAGTAGGTTTTTCCTCAAGTTTCTGTCTCTGTTACAGAGAATGAATAAAAAGAGGTTAAATGAATTAAGAGTTTTATAAAAGCATTGTAGAAATATAAGAAAGAAAAATATATTAACAGTTTATGTATTGTGTGTGTGTTTTCTATGTACAAATGCTAAGTGATCCTTCATTTAGGATACTTGGTCCTTCATTTGATGTGCTAATCATGGATGCTTTGTAGGTACTGGAGCTGGCAGGTAATGCTTCTAAGGATCTCAAAGTAAAGCGTATCACTCCGCGTCACTTGCAGCTTGCAATCCGTGGTGATGAAGAGTTGGATTCTCTTATCAAGGCTACCATAGCTGGGGGTGGTAGGTATTACTACTTAAGCCTTAATTCTTATTGGTCTTTCTGACTAATATATCGTTCAGATCAATGGCACAGCATATTTGATTAGTTAAATAGAAAGCATATAAACTTTAATTTCATAAGTATTAAATCTATAACAATTTTAGGCTTCTTTTTGTAATGATCTGAATGAATATTTCTCCTTATAGCCATATGTAATGCTATTTTTATTTTAGCCAGTTCTTTGTCTAAATTTCATATGATACTTAAAACCTGATGTTTAACATATTTCCCATACCTTTTTAACTGTGTTTGAAAAATGACTTGGAGAAATTGTGTAACATACACTGAAAAGGGTTGAAATAAATACACTTGAAAAGTGGGTCAGGATCAGTGAAAGTGAGAGGTAAGTTGGTGGTTTTTAATCTTTGGATAAACTTCAAAGAACCTCATGAAAGCTGTGGTTATAGCTGGGTATGGTGGCTCACACCTGTAATCTGAGCACTTTGGGAGACTAAGAGGCGGGCGGATGGATCACTTGAGGTAAGGAGTTCAAGACCAGCCTGGCCAACGTGGTGAAACCCCGTCTCTACTAAAAATACAAAAATTACCTGGACATGGTGGCACATGCCTGTAATCTCAGCTACTCAGGAGGCTCAGCCATGAGGATCGTTTGAACCGAGGAGACAGAGGTTGTAGTGAGCCGAGATTGCACCGCTGCACCCCAGCATGGGCAACAGAGCAAGACTTTGTCTCAAAAAAAAAAAAAATGCTGTAGTTACTCTTCTTGAAAAATGCACAGAAAGTCACATAATTTTACATACAGTTTTAAAGGGTTCACAGACCCCTGGGGGGGTAGCCATTTGTATAGTTTAACAGTATCAGAATATGAAAAGGGGCTTAAGTAAATTTCATTTTTTGTATAATTACACTTTTTTACTTGAGGCAAAAACTAAAAATTTTTAATATAACTTTTTTAAATTTCATTCTAGGTGTGATCCCTCACATCCACAAATCTCTGATTGGAAAGAAGGGACAGCAGAAAACTGCTTAGAGGGTTGCTTTAACCACCCCTCTTCCTCCCCGTCATTGTACTGTAACTGGGACAGAAGAAATAATATGTGGAATTTTTAACAACAGTTAAATGAAAAGCATAGACAATTACTGTAGACATGATAAAAGCAACATTTGTATGTTCTTAGACTCGAAGTTTGATAAAAGTACCTTTTCATGTGGTGACAGTGTGTGCGTTGATTGGCTAGGTTTCTCCCATGTGTTTTATACAAAAATGGAATTGATAAACCATTTTTTACAAAATTAATTTGTCTCAAAACTGTTCTGTTCATGATTTATTGGAAATATTTTGCTCAGACTTTAAAATATTTTAAATATCAGATTGGTTATTCGAGTAATCTTAGAGCAGAAATTGGGAATATAGACTCAATTGGGAATATGGTATATTGACTCTTAGATGCTATTGATCTGTAGCACCATTTTTCACAAACCACTAAGAAAAAAACTTGCTGATTAAGTCATGATACACCATCAATTATGAGAGCCCAATTTGAGAGATGTTAGAGTATGGAAAAGTATACATTTATAACTGAAATGGTAGAGGAATTATTTGAATTCTATACCAAGCACTCACCATGTGCCAGGCCCTTTGCTGAGTGCGCTACTGACCAATAAATTTTATTCTCCCCGACATTATAGATGTGGAGCCTAAGGCTCACAGAAATTGTATGACATGCCAAAAAACATTCAACTAGTAGATAAAAAATAACAAGGCTAGGATTCAAACCCAGATCTGGCTGACTCCAGAACCTACCGTTTTACCTGGAATTGATGTTCAGTTTATCAAAGGTTTCTCCTTTTGGTTTAAAATCCCAATTTTTGGCTGAGCACAGTGGCTTACGCCTGTATAATCCCAGCATTTTGGGAGACTGAGGTGGGTGGATCACTTAAGGTCAGGAGTTGAAGACCAGCCTGACCAACATGGTAAGACCCCGCCTCTACTAAAAATACAAAACTTAGCCAGGCGTGGTGGTACACACATGTAGTCCCAGCTACTTGGGATTCAGAGGCACAAGAATCACTTGAACCCAGGAGGTGGAGGTTGCAATAAGCAAAGATCATGTCATTGCACTCCAGCCTGGGTGACAGAGTAAGACTGTTTCAAAAAAAAATAAAATTCCGACTTTTAGTGAGTGGTCTTTTATTGACGATAACATTCAGCAATTTGTATAATCTTTTAAAAATTATTTTTCTCCCAGCACTTTGGGAGGCCGAGGCGGGCGGATCACGAGGTCAAGAGATTGAGACCATCCTCGCCATGATGAAACCCTGTCTCTACTAAAAATACAAAAATTAGCCGGGTGTGGTGGCACGCACCTGTAATCCCAGCTACTCGGGAGGCTGAGGCGGAAGAATCGCTTGAACCCAGGAAGCGGAGGTTGCAGTGAGCCGAGATTGCACCACTGCACTCTAGCCTGGCAACAGAGCAAGACTCCGTTTCAAAAAAAAAAAAAAAAATTATTTTTCTTTGTCAGTTTCTAAGAAACTGATTTTGTTTTGAGACAGGGTCTTGCCCTGTTGCCCAGGCTTGAGTGCAGTGGCATGATCCTGGCTGACTGTACCCTCCACCTCTCAGACCCAAGCAATCCTCTCATCTCAGCCCTGCAAGTAGCTGGGACCACAGGCACACACTGTGATACCTGGCTAATTTTTTTTATTTATGTAGAAGCGGGTCTCCCTGTGTTGCCCAGGTTGGTATTGAACTCCTGGCTCAAGCCATCCTGCCACCTTGCTGGGATTTCATGTGTGAGCCACTGTGCCCTGCCCTAAGTACTGTTACTTGAGTTAATGTACTAGTTAATTGGCCCTTAGAAAATTATATTTTTCTGCTTGTAAGTCTTCATTAAATAAGGAAATTTTAAAATGTTTTATAATGCTGTCCAAACTAATTTTTTAAAACATTTTATTATGGAAATTTTCACAAATATACAAAAAGAATAGCAGAATGAAGCCCTGTGTACCCATCCAACTTCTGCAGCTGTCCTGTGGTCAGCTGTTTACCTGCATCCCCACCTCTCCCCTGCCCCAACCCACAGGGATCAGTTTAAGTCCTATTACAGGCATAGTATTTTCATGTCTATGTGATCAGAGACATGTACAAATATAACTCTGAAGATAGGGTACTTTTTAGAACATAACCACAATTGCATTATATAAGTCTGCTAGAACTTTTTTTGATGCCAAGTTACCAGTCAATATTCATACTTCTGATTGTCACGTAAGTTTTTTTTATAGTTGGTTTGTTTGAATCAAGATCCAGACAAGATCTAGATCTTGTATTTTGTTATTATAATCTATAGTTTTAACTTTCTTTTTCTTGCAATTTAATTTTTGAAGAAACAAGTTGTTGTCCTATAGAATTGTCCCTCTGGATTTTACTGAATGCATTTTAATGGGAGCATTTACACCTTTTCTGTCCCCTATATGTTCTATAAACTAGCCGGTCAAGAGGGCTTTTGTTGGTCTGTTTTGCTTTTTCACAAAAATAATTCATAGGTGATATCTGCACCCTGTTGTATGACATCACAGCACATAACGTCTCTCATCTTGTAACATTAAGATTGATAGTGGGTTTGGATGCAGCCAGCCCACTCCATTTATTATCAAAATTAGCTATCAGCTTTTCCCCTGATGAATTTAGCCACCATTAATGATATTTGCCCAGATCTGGGATTCCATTAGGTGTCGCCAGCTGGTGATATCTTGTAATTCCTTCTGCATCTATTAGCGAGAATCCCATAAAGAACTTTTGCTCATTAATTCACAAGGCAGGATAAAATAGAAATTTCAAATTTTAATTGAATTAACTAGGCACCCATTTTAAAGTTTCTGTATTGGGAGTCAGGCCTACAGTAAAAGCAGTAGGAAGCTGATTTTTTTTTTTTAAGTTGGGGGTGCACAAAATAGAACATCCTTTGGCTGAATCACTTGTTTCAGGGCCATTTTTACTAGAGTTTTATGCATTATTGCTTCAAACGTTTAATTCATCTTGGTAGTATAGTTACTTGACTACATAATTTCTTCCCAGGGTTATATTTTTGTTTTGTTTTCTAACAACGCAGAAATAGAACGACTAGGCCATTTACCCTGGGCCCAGCTCTCGCAGTTATGATCAATCTTGCTTCATTTGTACCAAACCCCATGAGTTATTTTAAAGTATGTTCCGGCTATCATATCCCTTCATGTATAATACCTTAATACATATCTAAAATACAGCTTTTATTTTAAAGTTGTTTTTTTTTCCAGAGTCTTGCTGTTGCCCAGGCTGGCGCGCAGGGCACAATTTCATCTCACTGCAGCCTCCACCTCCTAGGTTCAAATGATTCTTCTGCCTCAGCCTCCTGAGTAGCTGGGGTTGCAGGCACCTGCCACCATGCCTGCTGGCTAATATTTGTTTGTTTTTGTTTTTGAAACAGGATATTACTCTGTTGCCCAGGCTGGAGTGCGATAGCTTACTGCAGCCTCCTCCTCTCCTGCCTCAGCCTCCCAGGCAGCTGGGACTACAGACATATGCCACCATGCCCAACTAATTTTTTTTTTTTTTTTTTTTGGAGACAGAGTCTTACTCTGTCACCAGGCTGGAGTGCAGTGGTGCAATCTCAGCTCACCGCAACCTCTGCCTCCTGGGTTCAAGCGATTCCCCTGCCTCAGCCTCCCGAATAGCTGAGACTACCGGTGTGCACCACCACGCCTGGCTGATTTTTTTGTATTTTTATTAGAGACGGGGTTTCACCATGTTAGCCAGGCTGGTCTCGAACTCCTCATGTCAGGTGATCCACCCACCTCAGCCTCCCAGAGTGTAGGGTTTACAGGTATGACTCACCACGCCCAGCTTGCCCAGCTAATTTTTGTGGAGTTTTTGTTTGTTTGTTTGTTTGTAGCAATGGGGTTTCACCATGTTGGCCAGGCTGGTCTCAAACTCCTGACCTCAAGTTTTCCACCCACTTCG